ATAATATCATTTGCATTGATCGTGTTGGTCTCGGTGCCACAAGAAGAAGAGTTCAAGGTTAGAGCTGCCTCCTAGTGAAGACTAAAGACATATCCATCATGTGCAAAGTAAGGTTGCACAATGGTAAAATTGCTCCTTAGATTAAATCTAGGAAACGAGCTTGATGTGATAAGTTGTATGAACCTTATTTCCACTAGCAAATTGGACTCGGTAGAGTCCCCATTTTTTAATCCAGAGGTGGGTTTTTCCGGCCAAAAACTTCGTGTGTTGTTGATTGTTTTTCTTGTTCACATATCTTGTTCATTTGCGTGTGATATATGATTTCTATGGCTTGCAAATATATTTATGTTTATGACTAAGTTTATCAAAGTTACCATGAGCATTGAACTAGACTTTAGTTAATTTGGATCACTTCAGTAATCTAAGTTAACTGATTAATTCGTTTTTGGTTAACTAGTAAATTTGAACTTAGTATATTGGTGTCGTTGACTAGTCAGTCTAGCATATATTGATTTTTAATTATAGGATATTCTGCCTAGTACCAATTTCAACATAATTTTATGAGGAGACAATTTGTACGTGAAGGGGAACGGTGCGTATGACATTTTTGGAGTGACAATTACAACACAGTGTCATATAAATCTTCAACAAAATAAATAAACTAACGAAACAAGGACATTGGTTCTGAAATGATTCATTGCAACTAAGTTTGAATCCTCTTAGATTAATGTTAAAACTATATATTGTCTCTATAAAACATAAAATATACATATATATATATATATGTTGTCATTAATTACAAAATATTTTGTAGGTTATCGTCATTCGGTACATTTTAGGTTATCTTGGGAAAATTACAAGAAAATTGAAATTTTCTTCTAAGAAACACGTAGACAATTAGGTTGAGGCGTGAGTGTCTCACTTTCTTTAAGGAGATTCAAGCACAATGTGGCTTGATAAAATTTCACGAACCAGTGCATAGTATATCTCTTGACTTGTTCTCTCTAGAATACAACCACCCAACTGAATCATCATGTGACCGCTAGTGGAGCCAATGCGGGGGCATTGGGCTCCCTTGACCCTAATAACTTTGTGAACGAAACCATTTAAAATTTTTTTTTACCCCTATAATAGCACTGTAGTAGCAGCACTACAACATCACCCGCAACATAAAGTTGCTATTGTAAGTATTCTTGGTTGTGTGGGCCACAATGGCCAGCAAATATTGACCCAAGTTGGCTCACCCAACATGGAATATGTGAGCCCACATGTGACCCAAGTGGTGTACTTGCTAGTGAAATTAGTATTGATTTAGGGAATTGTTATTAGCACTCTAAAAATTTCATTCTACACTCCAAACTTTCTATATTAGGAAAGAAAAATACACTTGTAAGGAGTGTAGAATGAGATTTTTGGAGTGCCAATAACATTTCCCTTAATTTAATTGTTGCTCCTGTTTTAGTTGAAATAGCATTTTCGGTGGTGAGAATTGTGAAGAATCCACTTCGTAATAGGATGGATGATCAATGATTGAATGATATTTTGGTTGTGTACATTAAGAAAGAGGTATTTGATTTTATTTGACATTTCCAAAATATGAGAACACGTCGTGGATAATTATAAATGAAAGTATGATAGATTTTTGAAACCTATTTTTTGACCCCATTCCATTGTCTTAAATTCCTGACTCCACCATTGCGTGTGACTCAAACTTATCTGCACAAAAAAGGAAAAGTCCAAAACTCCATCATAAGAACATTATTCTATGACCAATAAATAAAAGATGAAAAGATAGAGGAATGAAGAATAATAGTTATGGAGGAAATTTGGACAATTTTCATTGCACATTGTTTTCATTTTAACCATAAGTAGATGAGAAAAAGAAATTTCGTTTTGCTTTGTCACTTTTGAGTTGGCATCATCTTTGACTCTTTGACCTCGCAATTTATAAGAAAATTAATAAATAAATAAATAAATTATTTATTAGGATTCTTATGACTACGAAGAGAAGATTGATCCTCAGTTATGAGATAACTACCATGCCACTTTGCTTTCGAAGTCGATAAGACATTTTCCATGTTTTTAATTGCTGAACCATGATTCTCTGAGTATAATGCCTTCATGTTAATCTCAATTATTTAATAGGATATAATGATTTGTCTCCATTATTTAATTGTTTGGCGGCTCGATGAGTAATATACTTTGAATAATGTTATACTTATCATCTATTTATATCATTATTTATATTTTATTTTAAATAAAGATAGGACCTACTATGTGACATCCCACATCGCCCAGGGGAGTGATCCTTAAATATATATTCATATCCTTACCTAGCATGAGGCCTTTTGGGAGCTCATTGGCTTCGGGTTCCATAGGAACTCTGAAGTTAAGCGAGAAGGGGGCTAGAGCAATCCAATGATGGGTGATCCATTGGGAGGTTGCTCGTGAGTTCCCAAAAACAAAGCCGTGAGGGAATGGTAAGCCCAAAGCGGACAATATCGTGCTACGGTGGTGGAGCGGGCCCGGGAAGTGATTCCCCCTAGGCTAGGATGTGACAATTTGGTATCAGAGCCTAACCCTGACCGCGAGTGTGTCGACGAGGACGTCGGGCCCCTAAAGGGGGCGGATTGTGACATCCCACATCGCCCAGGGGAGTGATCCTTAAATGTATATTCCTATCCTTACCTAGCATGAGGCCTTTTGGGAGCTCACTGGCTTCGGGTTCCGTAGGAACTCTGAAGTTAAGCGAGAAGGGGGCTAGAGCAATCCCATGATGGGTGACCCACTGGGAGGTTGCTCGTGAGTTCCCAAAAACAAAGCCGTGAGGGAATGGTAAGCCCAAAGCGGACAATATTGTGCTACGGTGGTGAAGCGGGCCCGGGAAGTGATTCCCCCTGGGCCAGGATGTGACATACTAACTCATGTAGATTCTATTTTTATTAGACAGATAATACAAATATATGGTACGAACAACATTTTTTTTATATACTTTACCAACTAAACTACAATCTATAGTAATATTTTTCTTCATTAATAAATGAAAGATCTCATATTCGACTGACGTAGATGAAAATAGCATATTATATTTGCGATGAATTCAATAATTAGTAGCTGACCTATTGCAACAGTCTGGCTCAATCCACTCTCCACTTATAATAGAGTATCCCTCTTCAGATCAATATCAAACGTACAAGGTGAAGAAAGAAGATTTCCCACTACCTTGTTTAAGTAGGAGATAATCAAGCAATTGAGATTTTTGGGTTGCACAAGGGCGGCATAGCGGAAAGACAAACAAAACATGTACTTTGGCTTCACTTTAAATTAGGCTCTTCTTCATATCCTTATTATATATCTAAAACATTTTATCATTCATTGCATTCTTGATTAGAAAGGGGAAAAATAAATCTCTTATTTTCATAAATCTAATCTAATGCATCTCAAATTCATATTGTTGTAAATAAAACCTTATTAAGGTACTATAGGAATTCCTCGTTTCAACTTTGTCTTGACCTCAGTTTGCATTGGGACTACGATGCGACTAACTAAACCAAATCATACTATTATACATAAATGAACGAATACAAATACGATAAACAATTTATTTGAAGTTCTTCAAAAAAATAGAAAAAAAAAATCAATTTATTTAAAGAAGCACAACTTTCTATCCCTAAGTACAACAGGTTTGGCCCTAAACCCAACCCAACACGAGCAAGGAGGGGCATGTTTGGGAGTTGGGATTGTGTGAAAGAAAATCTTGTATATGTTGGCGTAAGTCAATATCATAAGGATTCCATGTATATATACTATAGAGATTTAATGTATGTTGACATGAGTTAATGTACCAAGAATATGAATTCAATGTTCTCATAATAAGGATTCAATTGTACGTGACATTCTTATACTCTGATATATATTTTCTCCTTGAGAGAAGAATACAACACAACAATTTAAACCGTAAAACTCTTGAACAGTTTTACACTTTTATATGTATATTATCGAATACATTCAGTACGAGTACATAGTCTTTCGAATCTTGCGAAAGTACATAATTAATTAATTCAAGCATTGGTGAAAAAGTAGCATGCATCTAAAGTTCATGATTAGTGGTCATATACCAGAAGAAGAGATGTAAAAAATAATTTGTAAGTTGATGAGATCGATTAGTTCTTAGTTGCAATAGTGGACATGATAATGCACTACACATCAGCCCACTCATCACTTATGATACAGTTGTTGAGTTCTAATAAAACGCGTAGCTGGTTGAAAAGGCTACAAAACCATGCACGTTCCGTTTTGTTCACGACCATTAGTTGTTTTTATCTCTTGACTCAGTGGAGGTTCCATTTCGATAAGGTGCAGCTGGCCAAAATAGATAGATCCCACTCATGGCTCAAAGTGGAGACAAAAACTTTCAAGGGATGTATACTGTTGTTGTATTCAAGTTAATTGTATTATTTATATAAAAAAAAATTATAACACATGATAATGTGTAATTGACTTGAAATATATTACTGTGATAACTCACTTGTATGTACGAAGGAAAGTCTATACTGCATAATGACTATAATGGGTAAGTCGGATAGGCATTGTTGATTAAGTGCTAAATGAAACGTGTTTAAGGGCTACAAAACAATTGAGTAGAACATAACTAGACATCCAACTCAAAATTAATTGAAAAAAAAAAAATGAGTATTTCCCATTACATTAATAATGATGAACATAGCAATATAATATATGTGCATGCACTATGAGGTAATTAGATTTTGCATCTGCAGACTGTAGTCTAGTCTCATTTCCAAATGCAAAGGCTCGGAAACATCTCTATCTTAATTGAGGGCCGAAAAAAAAAGAGAGGAGTACGTGCGAGGAGAAGTGTTGTTATCATTTTCTTATTTATAAGCAAATTAAAAGAACTAAAATTTACATTATGATCAGTAAATGTGAAAGAAGTAATGTTATTTTTGCTTTTATTGGCATGTAGATGTGTGCTTCTTGGATAACAAAACTCTGCGTGTCATTTTATTGAAGACTAGTGTAGTACAAATTAAGAAAATGTAGTATCATATTAATTATTATTACAATGCTTCTCGATATCTTTATAAACCTGAGACCAACATGAACTACAAAGTCAATATAATTGATGATATTCTCAGCTGTGATTGGTCATCATATATCTGGTTCAGTTGATTTCATATCCTGTAGATCAAACGATCGACATATTAGTATATATGTAGATATAAGGAAAATAATAGTAGAACTATAAAAGAATGCAAAATTATATAGATATTTACTGGACATATTCGACGTTGATTCTTGTAGAAGGAGAGTTTGAGATGGCTGCAAAAGCATCAGTTGACATGGCTACGGTAGAAGGGCAGGTTGAATCTCGACAAAGATCAACCACCTTCACGTCCACAGTAGCACCACCCTTGCAGGGCTTATTACGTCCACTTAGGCACCTCAGTCTATACCGCCTTCCACACGCAGCACCATTGTCCCACAACCCTTCACTCACCGCCACAAACAGATTCCCCGGCGGGAACTGGTCTTGCCTACTTCCAAAGCACTTTGTAGCTGCACCACAATTACAATATCGCATTGAAAAATATTAACTATAATATATATATATATATGTATATGAATGTGTATGTAGTTCTCTAATTCATAATTTCTGATGACATAATATATTAAGCATCTTTTTATATTCATTGTATAAGCATATAGAGAGAAGAATATGTTGTTGCTCACGTATGTAAGGAGGACCATAAGACGTTGCCGTGCCGATATCACCGGAAACAAGCCTTAGTTCTCTGCATAATAAGCTTAACACTATTGACATGAATAAGAGCCTCATGTTCACAACAGTTAGAAAATATATGCATTTGTTTAGGGGCTTGACTATATATATAATGGCATTGGGGCTCCTCTCTCTCTCTCTCTCTCTCTCTAGATCTCAAAAAGTTTTACTACTTTTTAAAAATCTTCGGCAAAGGATAAGAATCATGTACATAATTGGAAATTCAAGTCAAAGAGTTTAATGTCTTATAGATGCGAGAAACATACATGCACCCGTTAGAATTCCGGTAATGACATTAACATCCCGAGAGTGCATGTAGTCCTTATTCTCCTTTTGGAGATGAGCCTTTTAAAGTTGTTGTCATGGGGTTGTTTCAGAAAAGGGTATTAATTACCTAAGAAAATATGAGCTAATTAAGTGCGAAGTCTCATCACGTCAAGTAAAAAAAATCACATAAAAGTAATGAGAAGCTGTTTTTTTAGAAGTGAAAAACGCGTGAGAAGTTGAGACGCACTTACAAATTTACATTTTGGTTTTGCGAATGCAGATATTAATCGGTGGAAAAGCAAATTGTGGCTGTAAACGCAAATTGCATCATTAATTCGTGATTGTTATCTTTACCTGCCAAAATTTTGCACTTCATGACAAATTGGACATTTTATTTCCTACCTTGGTTGACTAAGCACCGCAAATGAACGTGATAGAATGTTCCTTTAAGAATTGCCGAGAAATCAAATGACCAAGCCCGCTAATTAAGGCAGCCTATCAAACTTTCTTTTTTAATTAACAAAACAATATTTTAAACTAAAATTTACGAGAAAACAAACTCAAACTTGAGTGCAACGGAGCGAGCCCATTAATTTAACTAATTGATCTAACAAACATCTGCCAATGATAGGTTATGCAACTTGGAATTAACAATGTCAAAAGTAGTAGTTATACAAGTTTAATTGTCCAATTCGAATCTCAAACAAACTCGTTAAAAACATATGTCAAAAGTAGTTGTTATATAAATTCTATCGTACCGTTGGACAAGTTTAAATTGTCCAACTCGAATCTCTTTTGACCAATTCAAATCCCTTACTTGTTAAAAAAAACATCCGTCAATGATAATTTATATAGCTTCCAATTCAACAATGTCAAAAGTAGTAGTTATACAAATTATATCATACCATTGGACAAGTAGAAATTGTCCAATTCGAATCTCTTACCACTCATTCGAATCCCTTGCTCGCTAAAAAAGCAAAAAACAAAAAAAAAGAATGATAAGAACCATAAAAAACAAAGGTTAAAAAAATGCTGGTCCAATTGGTTCATACTAGCGGGCCATGTTGGATCCGAGTGGCACCAACCCGTTATCCTTCCACTGCCAAGAGCGGGAGGTGGTCGTTGCTCTGTGAAGCCAGCCTTCCGCGGTGTCCTCCGCTCTAGGAACCGTGAAGCATGAGCCTTCGCTCAAACTCCTCGGCACAACTCCTAGCTTGGAACGGGCGGGTCAGAATAGAGCCACGACAGAGCCGGCCCGATGAGACCGAACCAACGTTCCGACACTTTGATGTCCCCACTCGGGTTACAAGCTTGTGTTAAGAAGCTCGACAATGCTTTTGCTTTGCGCAAGTTATATAAAGTGCTGTATTTAGCTGCTGATGGTCGATGTGGGACTAATTGTAGTTGGTGCTTCTCTCTTGACTTGCTCTTCCCTATTTGGAAGCTTAAAACTATGGCCATATCTAAATCAAAAATTGTATTTGCAAGAGAAATTACGGGAGTTAAGGTCTACCTTGTTGTGGAGAAACATTAAAATAAGAAAAAATCGAGAGTTTGAAGCCTCTCCATCTTCCACCGTCACACTCCTTGAATGCTTCCTCCCCCGGCCTTATTTGATTGCCTCATTCTTTTCTCATCACATTCTCACACGAACCTCATTTTATTTATTTTTATTTTCTGTAAAGTTCCAAGTGATGAGTGATATATCATGAATAAAGTTCCATCAAGGACTGAAAGAAATGAGATTACTTGAAGTGTTTTCCAAAAAAATAATCACCATTAGACTAGCTTGGTATTCTAGATGATATGGACACGACAAGGAAAACAGGTTGGGAGATAAAAGTGCAACTGGCGCTAGCTAGCAGGGCTGAAACAACCCAGTATTCTGGTGAGAATGTCCGTCAATGTTCCGGTTTGCATCCAAGTTTGTGCAAGCCTTTGACGCTCTTTAATTCTAGATTTGAGGTAATATGTTTTCATCTCTCTATGAAATTAATTACTCAGCTCAATTTTAAGACTGATAATTATGAGTATATTTCCATGACGTAGCGATATGATATTTCTTATCACTTGTGATTAATTACTCTTCTATATATGCCTATAATATACTTCCAGTACACAGATTTAACAATCCCATGGCACGGCCAAAATCAGCAGGACCGTCACCACCGAAGCATAGATTCTATACATACTAAAACCCGGTGGAATAGTACTGTTCAGGAGCAGTGTAATGGCTTAAATGCCCCTTGATGTCTTCTTTGTTTCCCGTTGTCTTACATGCTTGGTACAGTGAACTGACTAAAATGCCCCTCATGTTAGCCTTTGCAGTGTGCTTTTTTCCATTTCGCACAGTGATTCATCGGGTTTGCCCATTCTATCCACCTGTCCATCATTTGTGGGTCTTTGTAATTTTTTATATTTTTTTTGTGCCACAAACCATGTGCCGGGGTTAACTTCTGACAACTTTACTGTTTATTAACAGTAAAATGTCAGAAATGACCTTCATTTTTGCTTACCTTCCTTTTATGTTGCCACATCTGTGCAGTGAAAAAACAGTAATGCCCCTCCTTTTTGCCTGGTATCTTCTTTATTCCTTGTCCATGTCGTTTCAGTGATTTTTTACCTAGCCCACGTGTCGGTCATCGTGAGGTTTGGTTTTTAGTTTATACCCACTTTGCTTTTTGCTCAGTTTCCCATACCAAATTCTGCATTTCTATCGTTTTGCAAGTTGTGCGTTTTGCTTTTCTTCTTTCCAATCTCGCATTCGGTCGTCCCTTTCAAATCTCGCTTTGTGTCCTTTTCAGCTCTTTGTTTCGTCACTCAACACCGAAGTAGTGTAAGGGTTTTCAACTTTTGATTTTTCTTTTGTTTTAAACTGAAAAGTTTGATTTTATAGATTCGAAAGTATACAAAAGTTGAATCTTTATTTGGGTGAATTTTTAAACCCAGTTTCTCTTATGGATTTTCATGGGTGGTTAAATTGAATTTGGAGGTTTTTATGTGGTCTCAGATGGAAAACAGTTATAGTCTTATAGAAGAGATGCAGGATATGAACAGGGTGGAATGTTTTCTATTATTATTATTTTTTTTAAATCAATGTGGGGTTTTGTTTGGTTTTGCTAATTATGGGCTGTTGAACCCAGCGATTTGTCTACATAATGAACAAGAGACAATGAAACCGATATGTTGTTATTTTTTTGTCTAAAATTGAAGAGTCTTTGCCTTCCATCTTTTTTCTCAGCGTTTTTCAGGCTTATGGTATATAATTTGTATTTTTTTTTTTTTTTTTTGATTCATGATTGGTTTTGCAGGTTTTGTTTGTATAGAGAAGACAGTAACTTGGCTGGTGCACCGTCTGTTTTCAGTCGAGGGTGAGGTTTAGTTTGTTACGTGGTTAATCTTAAAGTTGTCATCAGTTGTTCGGTCTATTTGTGATCGAAAAATTTGGGAGCATCTTTATCTGTTTATTTGTCATGTTTTAAATCTAGGTATAAAGTCAATTTGGTTCTTGAGGATCACACCAATGAAATCAATGCTCTCATAATTGGAAAATCTGGTGAAAAGCTTTTTGGTGTGCCATGTAAAGACTTAGTACTGAATCAAATATTAGTTGACCAACAACAGTTACCAAATGAGTTTCTAAGGCTGATCGGGCAAAAAAAAAAAAAAAATTCATCTGCGATTTGGTAACAGAAAAAGCAAATTTAGTTCAACTGATATCCTTACTTGCAATGTCTCTTAGGATACCTCCATTGAGCCAATCACTCCACAACTGTTGTCCAGAGAAATTAGTCTCTTCAACCACCATGTCATCCTCTGCTTCAATGCCTGAAACAAGTGGATCATTATATAAACGAAAGCGAGAATCCATCAGGAATGCTCTTTTTACCACTTAGGTGACTTAGGTCACTTAGGTGACTCCGGCTGCCAGTGATATGTTATTGATATGGTTGATACCTGAGCACTTGCATTTCATTCTGAGTTCCTGGCATGACATATTCTTGAGCATGGTTGACATATATATATTTACATGTGCCTATGTTTATTTTCTGGGAAGTATACAGGTTTTACGGCGAGGGGATAGAACTTATTTTGCTAAATGATTTTGAAAAGCTTTATTTTTGCCCACTCACGCTTTTGTTTTGCGCCCCTCCAGGTTCTAGCTGTTCAGTTGGTTTGGTGGTTTCCCAGAGGGTTTTCCCGGCATTTCTGACAGACGATTACCAACGTATGTACACCTTCGGGTGCACTGTTGTAACGCTATTTTAATTTGGACTGCTTAGGGTTTTCTGCTCTGAATTTGTGTCTCACTTACGCTAGCACTTATTACTTCTAACTTATGTATGTTAGTTTTTATTTATTCGTACTTTTACATTACTACTTTATTAGCTTCCGCACTGTGCACATGGCTACGTCACTTCCACGTGACGGCCAGCACGTCCTGATCTCGGTCGGGGTGTGTCATTTATGGCATGTAAATAACTCTTTTTACTCAAACTTATCAATATTTTTGCATGTTCATACACCAGCACTTATTAATATTTTGTACATCATTGCTGATTCTGGTTTAAAACTACAACTACCAGACTATGCTAGATGACTGTAATATTTTTTGCATGTACATAGACCCTGAAAAATAGATGTAATATTTACCAATGAAGTTGTCCATATTTAACTGTATCTCTATAGTGTTTCTAATATTCTCTTAATGATTGTTATCGCTTACGATTTTCTACTGTCGGTGTATATTACTGTATATGCCACACAAGCAAATATAAAATACATTGGTCCATTTGGGCCGGCCTACCGGGCCATGGTGGATCCGGACGGCACCAACCCGTTATCCCTCCATCGCTGAGAGGGGGAGGTGATCGTTGCTCTGTGAAACCAACCTTACGCGGTGCCCTCTGCTCTAGGAACCGTGAAGCATGAGCCTTCGCCCAAACCCCGTGGCCCAACTCCCAGCTTGAAATGTTTATGCTTTGTGCAAGGTATATAAAGCGGTATGTACAACTACTGAT